GTAGACAATGGAAATTGCGGATCTTTTAGTATACAACATTAGATATACCGTGAAAGATCGTTGCCACGGCCCTATCTCCATCTGAAACTCAGGCTATCAAACCTATAAATCTAGAACCCAAGCGCCCACTGATGGTTGGGCTGGTGACGACAGTAAGGATGGACAAGGACATTGGAACGTATCATACGACGCTGGCCGTTATGTAATCAATGTGACCGGACATACGGGAATTGTATTAGATACATGTATATCTACATAACACACACACACACGATATATATATATATATATATAATATATATATATACTGGCAGATTCCTTCCTTTTTTGCATGTTCGATTTAAAATGACCGTTGACTCAGCATTGAGAAGCTTTTTTATGCATCGTTCGAGTTTCAGGGTTTCTGGCTTAGCATTGAAGTTTAGATTAGAGGTGGTTCGTGCAAAACCATTCAATATTCGTCCATCTTTGCATTCTTACGCTTCGACATCTTGTATCATCGTCGGAGAAGTCTGAATGGCACAAGAGGTAAGTTTGAGTTTTAAGGGACCAAAATTGTGCATTACTATTGAAAACAACTTTTGGTACAGAGAAGACAAAGGAAATATGGCTAACTGAAGTAAGACAAAATCCTTTCATTACTTTCACACTTATAAAATACACTCATAATGGAAGCACTACGAAGACACGAACACATTATCACAATGACATCAATAACACTCACCGCTCACCACCTAATAACTCAAGTGTTGTCCAAAAATGTGTTGGTCTGTTATGGGCTGGATAGTTTGTTAACAAGAATACTTTCCCCACATTTAAAGGCGTTTCCTGTCGTCGCACGCCTGCATAATGCAAGTGTTGCCTGTCAGTTGTTGCGTTAACGTCCTGTCATTTCCATCGCGTCCATGAATTTCATCGCAATAGGAAAATATCTAACTTCCTTATGAGAAACAGCCCAGGACGAACCAAGGAAACCAAAAATGCACCAATGTAGTGCATCGATCCCAACGCAATATCGAAGGCCGCGAACTTGGTTCTATACACTACATTGGCGTGACCACGACACTCACGACGCCTGACAGTGCCCTTGCGCGACGGGGCACCTCTGGACCACACGCGACAGGAACATGTCAGGACATTGACACAACAACTGACAGACACCAGTGACATTCTTCAGGCATGCAACGACAGAAGACGGCTGAATTTGGGAAACCCATCAACGAACCCTCTCCAGCCCTTAGCAGACAAACACACTCTTGCACAAGCCTTGAGTTGATAGGTGATGGGCGGCGAGTTCTACTGATGCTTTACTTCCATTGGCCATGCCTTTCAGTTGGCCAACTTTCATTCTTTGAAACTAAAAACTTATTTTGTGTACCATTCAGCCTTCTCCGACGATGAGACAAAATCTCGAAACGTAAAAATACAAAGATTGGCGAATATAATGAATATGAATGATTTCGCACGAACCATCTCAAATATAATCGATAATGCTAAGGCAAACGACCGGAAACTTGAGTGATGTTTAAAAAGCTCGTCAACGCTGAGTCGGGGTTCATTTTTTATCGAACACACACGGACCACGGACCACGGACACGGACACGGACACGGACACGGACACGGACACGGACACGGACACGGACACACACACACACACACACACACACACACACACACACACACACACACATATATATATATATATATATATATATATATATATATATACCTATATACATTCATATATTATATATATTATTTTCGCTTTCCTTTGCATTATTTTCGCTTTTTCTTTCCCTTTCGCTTCCTTTCAAACACCTTTGGCTTCTTATGTGACATGTCACTGGCCTGGGGCAAAGGACAGTCAAGCGAGCTGCTACACTCATACGTCGGAGGGTGACCACCTTATTGACCTCCTCTAGAGCGTCGAGCACCGCCCAAAGAACGTAACCTACCCCCGGAAATGGTGCCGTGGTGAACTATCGTGTGATCCTTACAGCATCTGATTTCACTATGCTCGAAACCGTAAACGAAATTGTGTTGAAAAAACTTGATGTACGATATGAGCAAATAAGTACAGCAAGCTTGCACAGGCGATGTAAAATCCGGCTTGTGGTCGGATTCGAGGACCCACTTGACATCGATACTTAAACCGGCCGGTGGCAATACAACTGCATCGCATTATTCAAACCGCTTAGAAGGCTGTGCGGATCCAATGCGATGTTAGCATCGTTTTTCAACAACGTTTCAATCGCTAACGCCCATTCATACCAACATGACCAGCTCAGCCACTTGCGCTTCGCAGGTGTTTCAACTTTCGAATACAGGCCATCAAAAGTCTTATAATAGTTTAGCGTATTGGAACCCACCGTCGCTCACACGTTTTTCAACGGAGTGATTTTTTAGCTGTTCCGGTGTATATGGACAATATGTGATGTGACCACCACAGATGCCAACGATCTCTTAGCAGGCTGTGAACCGACGCACATCGAGCAGCCTTGAAAACGGCCATCAACGAGCCCAAGTGCGCCTTATTAACGCATCACTTCAGCACAAGTGTGAACATCATGCCATTTAAGTTTCCGCAGCAAATTAGGACCATTAATGTTACCAAAGCCCACATGTTAATAGGCCAAACGCAGTTCTCGTCATGTTCAGGCACGATAAAGTTGGTCTGATGATAACGTGCCCCGAGCAGCTATATGGTAACACGAGGGCACCCCGTGAACTGCGGAGACAGTCCGAGGTCCGAGGTCAATACCCACCGACGCGCTCACAGAAACACCTGAACCTACCAAGAGCGGCGGAAAGTGTAACAGTCAATACGGGATAAGAAACTTACAGAAGTAGATCTCAAGCGTCGGCTTTGACCGGACAGCAGCGAACTGTCGTCAGAGTGAGAGCACCGTCTTACTTCAGCAGTGCAGCGCCGCCGCCACGCCGCGCTCGGCGGCGGCGCAGCTGCACGGTCGCCCGCTCCAGGCGCTCACCTGCGCCGTGTAGCTCCAGCGGTGTTCGTCGAGCCCGTGGACCTTGCAGGGTGCCATGGGCGCGTGGCGCGGCTGGTCGGGCGCGGGCTCGGAGACGGTGGCGCACAGGTCCTCGCGGGCGGACCTCGTCTCGCCGGCTGTGCGCCAGGTACTGTGGCACGACACAGCCGAGGCCCGGTGAGGGCGGCGCACAGGTCCTCGCGGCGAACCTCGCCCCCCCCCCCCCCCCCTCCCCAGCTGTGCGCCAGGTACCTGCAGCAGGGCACGGCCGAGGCCCGGTGAGGGCGGCGCACAGGTCCTCGCGGCGAACCTCGCCCCCCCCCCCCTCCCCAGCTGTGCGCCAGGTACTGCAGCAGGGCACGGCCGAGGCCCGGTGAGGGCGGCGCACAGGTCCTCGCGGCGAACCTCGCCCCCCCCCCCTCCCCAGCTGTGCGCCAGGTACTGCGGCACGGCACGGCCGAGGCCCGGTGAGGGCGGCGCACAGGTCCTCGCGGCGAACCTCGCCCCCCCCCCCCTCCCCAGCTGTGCGCCAGGTACTGCAGCAGGGCACGGCCGAGGCCCGGTGAGGGCGGCGCACAGGTCCTCGCGGCGAACCTCGCCCCCCCCCCCCCCTCCCCAGCTGTGCGCCAGGTACTGCAGCAGGGCACGGCCGAGGCCCGGTGAGGGCGGCGCACAGGTCCTCGCGGCGAACCTCGCCCCCCCCCCCCCTCCCCAGCTGTGCGCCAGGTACTGCGGCACGGCACGGCCAGAGGCCCGGTGAGGGCGGCACACAGGTCCTCGCGGCGAACCTCGCCCCCCCCCCCCTCCCCAGCTGTGCGCCAGGTACTGCAGCAGGGCACGGCCGAGGCCCGGTGAGGGCGGCGCACAGGTCCTCGCGGCGAACCTCGCCCCCCCCCCCCCCTCCCCAGCTGTGCGCCAGGTACTGCAGCAGGGCACGGCCGAGGCCCGGTGAGGGCGGCGCACAGGTCCTCGCGGCGAACCTCGCCCCCCCCCCCCCCCTCCCCAGCTGTGCGCCAGGTACTGCAGCAGGGCACGGCCGAGGCCCCGGTGAGGGCGGCGCACAGGTCCTCGCGGCGAACCTCGCCCCCCCCCCCCCCTCCCCAGCTGTGCGCCAGGTACTGCAGCAGGGCACGGCCGAGGCCCGGTGAGGGCGGCGCACAGGTCCTCGCGGCGAACCTCGCCCCCCCCCCCCTCCCCAGCTGTGCGCCAGGTACTGCAGCAGGGCACGGCCGAGGCCCGGTGAGGGCGGCGCACCAGGTCCTCGCGGCGAACCTCGCCCCCCCCCCTCCCCAGCTGTGCGCCAGGTACTGCAGCAGGGCACGGCCGAGGCCCGGTGAGGGCGGCGCACAGGTCCTCGCGGCGAACCTCCGCCCCCCCCCCTCCCCAGCTGTGCGCAGGTACTGCAGCAGGGCACGGCGAGGCCCGGTGAGGGCGGCGCACAGGTCCTCGCGGCGAACCCTCGCCCCCCCCCCCCCTCCCCAGCTGTGCGCCAGGTACTGCGGCGCGGCACCGCCGAGGCCCGATGAGGGCGGCGCACAGGTCCTCGCGGCGAACCTCGCCCCCCCCCCCTCCCCAAGCTGTTGCGCCAGGTACTGCGGCGCGGCACCGCCGAGGCCCGGTGAGGGCGGCGCACAGGTCCTCGCGGCGAACCTCGCCCCCCCCCCCCCTCCCCAGCTGTGCGCCAGGTACTGCGGCGCGGCACCGCCGAGGCCCGATGAGGGCGGCGCAATGGCGCACGGGTCTAACTTTCTCGACACATGACATCAAACCGAAAATACATGGTACAGCAGAGACAGATAACAATGGCTAGTACGGAACATTTTCATAGCTGCCCCCAGGCGCCGGAGCCGCACCTGGCCGGAGACTGGCGGCTCGGTGCAGGTGTTGAGCCCCAGGTACACCAGGTCCTCAATGACCAGGGTGTCGACGCAGAGCTCAGCACGGTCGCGCGAGCGTAGCTGGCCGCTGGCGAGCACGTCCTCGTCCAGGCGCATCTTGTTGGGGTAGACGGTTGTCCAGGTACCAACGGAACGAGCGGCAGCCGAGCCGACGCCGCAGCTCGAGACGTGACGTGACGTCACCGGCCTCCGGGGGCTGCCAAAAAGTCAACAGAGGTCACGGCAGGTCAGCAAACCGCGGCGCGGGGGAGAACACGGCCTCCGGAGGCTACCACCGGTCAACAGAGGTCACGGCAGGTCAGCGAGCCGCGGCGCAGGGAGAACACGGCCTCCAGAGGCTGCCACCAGTCAACAGAGGTCACGGCAGGTCAGCGAACCGCGGCGCAAAGAGAACACGGCCTCCAGGGGCTGCAACCGGTCAACAGAGGTCACGGCAGGTCAGCGAGCCGCGGCGCAGGGAGACACGGTTTCCGGGGGCTGTCACCGGTCAACAGAGCTCACGGCAGGTCAGCGAAGCGCGGCGCAGGGAGAACACGGCCTCCGGAGGCTGTCACCGGTCAACAGAGGTCACGGCAGGTCAGCGAACCACGGCGCAGGAGAAAACGGCCCGCGGCGAACATGTCAGCGCGGAGCAATGCCAGCGCACACAACGAAGACTTCAACATTACAGGCATGCCAAGCCAAATCATCGTGCGTCAAAACCCATACAGGTCGACGCAGACCAGCACTTTCGGGCAGGCACAGTTTCCACCGCATGCAGTCTCACTGAGCCACCAAGCCAATCACCCTCACACCATTACCGCGGCCGCTACCGATCCCACTGGCAACGAGCCCGGTGCCTCACGTGCGTGTGCCGGTAGTGGAGGTGGAAGTAGCGGCTGTACTCGTCCATCCAGACGGCCGCGATCCGCGCCATGTTGGCCGCCAGCGGGTTGGCGCTCCAGGGGAACGTGTACGGATGGAAGTCACGGAAGATGTGGCCGACGCGCGAGCACGGCAGCGTCTCCACCACACCGCCGCACTGCCACGTCTGTCGGCGACAGCGGAGCGCAGACTGTCAACACACCACATTCCGCCCTACCGCCAGTCCGCACATGTTCGCCGCGTCCGATCGGTGGGCGCAGCACAGGTGCCAACATGGCGTCGTACAATACTACTCCACCTGACATACCCACGAGGGGTGGGGGACATATCGGCACAATTTCCCAAAATTATTTTTGTTCCCTCAAACGTTCCCCATAGACTGCACGTTGTACATTCCAAACGTCACTTACAGGTAAGGCTGTTTCACCAGATCCCACTTTGACCGCCTAATCCTCATTTGTTTCTCATCATTCAGCTGCTTGGCTTAGAGCCATTTCGGCCAGAAATAATCACTTCAGGGCTATAGGATTAAGGAGACTGGATAACGGTGGGGCAGGACTGCATAGCTTTGGGGGGAGGGGGGGGGGGGCAACTGCCGAGCTTTAGTACACGCAGGGACACTTCAGAGCGTGCGCTGGGCGCGCGGTAGGGGGCCCCTTGGCCCACGCTTGGCCGACGAGTGCAGCCTGCCCCGTATTGGCGGATGGACGGGGCGTCGCGATGATTTAGGATAAAGCAAGGAGAGACGATAAGAGGGTCGGATGTCCTAATCATTCAAAAATCGAAGCGTGTTTGCCATCGTAGCATCAACGCCACGCTAAGTTCAATTACTGGCTGCCAAATGTTTAAAGCAAACTAAGAATTTGATTGCATGGTGCATTTAATACATTTTTAACTTAAAACTTCAGTCTATGCACTGTGCTTCGTTCTGCCCGGCAATAAATATAAGGCAATGCTAATTAGATGAACAACACGTTGATGTGTGGAGGGGAACAATAATAATTTTAATAATAACTTGTCCATAACACATTGTATTGATCCAGAAAAAACGCACATATATTACAGCCGTGGGCTTCCATCAGTACGCCCACATAAAGTAAACATTCGGTCGAAATCACAAACGTCGTGCAGCATATTCTTTTTAACGTATTACACACTGTTCTTAGGGCATTTACATCGAGCAACTTAATTGGAGACGAATTACATTACCAGACGGTGTCATATGGGAGAGCCTTCAAAGGGCTCAGGGAGGAAGTCGTGGTGTTCAGTATCGGTTTCCCATTTCTCATGTGATTCTGCGATTTTCAATTCAGCAATAATTTCACATATCTGCGGCACGTATATTCTGAGCGAGTTTGCGCGGACGACTTCCGTATAGTGTGCGTTGGCGAAATGGTCGCGAAATGGAATGTTTTTGGTTTCTTTTAAGCTTTTGGCTCCCATGACCACCTGCCCGGCATCCGTCACCCTGATCACATGCAGGGAGAGATGCAACAGGTCCAATATAGCCAAGTTGACTGCAGGGCATGCGCGGCAGCGCCGACTATCTTCGTCCTCATTTGCTCACCGAGTGGATCAATGAAAACAGCCACGTTGAGTACTGACTAGCAGCTTTTGCTCGTTTTGCGCAACATCAATAACGCAACGTTGCATTTATCACATTTCATCAGACGTTCAACACTGGTGCGTCACCGAGATATCACAAATGAGGAGCCAGATGCTGCATGGGAAGGAAGTCGCCAAACTGACCACACCCGGTTCTCCGGCTTGCAAGAATTATAAACACGTCACGGCGTCCCTTGACAGTGCACGTCACACACCAGTCACATGTCTGGCATACTTATGACATGCATCTGGCTTTCCGATGGTAAACCACATTGCCTTCACCGTCCATTAAAGCCCCAGCTCAACATAGCGTACGTGATCTCCCACCCAACGCTTCAGGTTACATAAGCCACCACTAGGTGGCACTACTGCATTAACAGAACTATTAGTACACTAAGAAACCAATAGGTGGCTACAACACAGTACGGTCCATGTTGTTTTTTTATCTGCATGGTAAAAACAAATGCGCAAAGCAGGTCACTTTTTCCCTGCGGCATATTATGGCGCACGGTGTGTACTGAAATGCATATCCAAACGGCGACGACACCTTGTTTCGTGCGCGAGCAATAGACATTCAGATCATGAAACTAGGAATTCCGTCGACAATAAACATTGACTTGATAACCAAAGACCCCCGGAATCACTTATCATCTAGTAGAGGTTACTTTTGACTACGACAGGGCGATGAAGAATGGAGGTAATGATCACATGATTAACCTCACGGCAACCTCTTGGTGAACAGGAGATATGCCACTTCTGAGCCCCTAGATGATCACCATACACCATGACAGTGGAAAACAAATGTGGCCTACGGGACAGTAACTGGGGCAAATTTGACGTGGGGGAGTTCGGCGTTGTCACGAACCTACTAGAGGAATCTGTGCATCTCAGAAAAGGCCAATGACGTCACTGGTCCCTTCCGATTCAGCCGCCGTTGCGCTGTCCAGCCAGTTACCGCATCGCGCATGGATAGGGTGAATTCAACGCTCATTTGTGATCTCAACACTACAAGAGGGCTAGAAACACATGTCCCAGGGTGGGGTAACCTGCATGTGAATTTAAATGGATCGAAATTAAGGTTCTTAGGTCGTGACCTTCGGGTCAAATTCCAGATATCGGTGTCCAAAATGCCCCCAAACCTCCTCGTGCAACCACCGTGAACAAAGACAAATATTCTAAGCAAAAGGTCACTGGTGTTTATTTAACGTTGGTGACCAAGCAAGTTCACCAGTGTTTTAATTTTGGCATTGAAATGAGCTTCAAAGGGTTGCGCCGCACAATGTACCCGCCGAAAAAAATGTTGACCTGGGTCCAATTTATATCAGTGACCTTTTCTGACCTTAAATAAGTACATGTAAGACGTTCGACGCGGTCCCTGTCACATTCAGTTCAAAATAAGCACCAGGGACTACCCTACCCAGCACACTATCGAGTAACAAAAAACCAGTTCTGACCTCGGTCTGGCCTTCATACCTGGCCACAGGTCAGTGATTTTTTTTGTAATCCTGCATGCAATTGTTGTTTCAATCTCAAAAATGCGTGGCTTCCTCCGACACTCGTTGTCGTATCAGATTGCACGATTCCCTACAAATTGTCTTCGCTGGCAGTAGTGGGCTGAGTTTGACCTGCCACAAGCCAAGGACCTTACCAGGTACATCTACTTCTTTGATACGCAAGAATCACTCTCAAAGTGCCAACAGTTATGTAACGATTGGTGCCGCCATGCCGCGCGGCTCGGCAATCATCCTGGAAAACCTGGTGATCAACCTGGAAAATCAACCTGGTGAACTGCCCCCCCCCCCCCCCCAACCGACCCGCGTGTCAAGGGACGGGGCCGGTGTGGACCTTTTGGCCCAACATTTAAGCCCCTGCTTAAAAGACTGATGGAGATGAAGACTGATAAACTAATGTTTCTGATGTGGGCTGCCTACAGAGCCCATGAAAAAACCACTCAACGAATTTTTAATAAATAGATACCCATAATTATCAGACGTCTGGGTAGTGGTAACTAGTAACAAACGGGACAAATTGTAACAGCGACTGTGCTGCTTTTAATGACTAAAATCTGCCTCATCAACAAAAATGCCTGCCTTACAAGGAAACGCTTAAAATAGTCAGCGAGCATCATATGCCAAATGCTGGTCAACGTGGTGTGACCCCAAGTGTCGTCCGTAGCACGAAAAATGGGATTGTCTTTAGCTCACCAAGACCCCAAAATCACTGTGAAAAAATCGGGTTTTATTTTCTTCAAGACTGGGAGACAGTACAAGTAGTTTTACGAGTCGCAATAGGCTACTGAGCGGGTTCATCTGTCCTCCCCCGGCCCTACAACCGGGAAGCCCATTAGGAAGCCTTGTCCCGGAGCCCCACGCGGTGCGTGCATGTGGTGTGTGTGTGTGTGTGTGTGTGTGGTGTGTGTGTGTGTGTGTGTGTGTGTGGTGTGGTGTGTGTGTGTGGTGTGTGTGTGGGTGTGTGTGTGTGTGTGTGTGTGTGTGTGTGTGTGTTGTGTGTGTGGTGTGGTGTGTGTGTGTGTGTGTGTGTGGTGTGTGTGTGTGTTGTGTGTGTGTGTGTGTTGTGTGGTGTGTGTGTGTGTGTGTGTGTGTGTGTGTGGTGTGGTGTGTGTGTGTGTGTGTGTGTGTGTGTGTGTGTGTGTGTGTGTGTGTGTGTGGTGTGTGTGTGTGTGTGTGTGTGTGTGTGTGTGTGTGTGTGTTGTGTGTGTGTGTGTGGTGTGTGTGTTGTGTGTGCTGTGTGTGCTGTGTGTGTGTGGTGTGTGCCTGTGTGTGTGCCTGTGTGTGTGCCTGTGTGTGTGCCTGTGTGTGTGCCTGTGTGTGTGCCTGTATGCGTGCGTGTATGCGTGCGCGTGCCGTGCGTGTATGTGTGCCCTGGTTTTTGTCTGAGGAATAATGATAATACTACTGTCTTATTTATGTGAATTATGTTCCTCGCTAATGCACTGAACAACTTAGTTATCTATCTTTTCATTTGCAGGGGGCACTTATTATTAGCCACATGAGGGGTTTCAGGCTCTCAGCATCGGTTTTCAATTTGAGGTCATCAAATTCTTGAATTCAGATTCTCGGCATCTTGAGATGATAAGCAAACACTCGTCAGTCTTCGGCAACGCTGGAAACAAGTCACGACCAGCGGTTGCAACAATAATGGCACAGTTGCAGCCGCCGGCGTGAGCGCGCCCGAACACCCTGCCGCCGCGCCGTACTGACCCTGAACGAGAGCTCGAGGTTCTCGCCGCCGTAAACGTCCATGCCGGTGTCGTAGCCGCCCAGCTGCCAGAAGTACTGGCGGCTCATGGCGTACAGGCATCCGGACATCACTGGCGACCTGCGGGGCACGGCGCGCCGCGTCAGGGGCGTGGCGGGCGCCGGCAACGACTAGCCACGCACCGCACGCCATGTGATGGTTGTCACGCTCGCCGCGCCGGCACCAGCCGGCCGCGCGGCACGGACACGAGAGCAGGGCCGCGCTCGCACAGCGTGCGCCGGAGATCTGCGCAGCTAAACAACTAGGTTCCGTACAAGACACTCGAAAAAACGCAGTGATACTATGACAAACACCGCAGCAGCAGCAGGGGTTTCTTTCAGGCGGTTTTCACTCAAACGTTAAGGGTCTGGTGGGAATCAAGGATGTTTGCGGTTGCAAGACAATGCAATGCAAGCCATCACGCAGTTCCAGACGAATATCCCGTCGATATAAATCGTTTTGTGCCATGCAAAAGAAAAAAAGACCCTAATGCGACATGAACAGCCACCATTGCTGAATGAACATCGAGCCCCTATCCAACGTTCATACCATTAGGGACTGGCGAGCCCTGATACGCTAGCACAAGGAGTAAACTTCCACAGAAAGCTGGGAGGTGGAGGGTGAGTTAGGAGGAAGGCCAAACCTTTCCCCCAAATATGCCAACCTCCCCGACCCATTTTCCTCTCAGATAGGGCTGGAGCCCCCTCCCCCTCCCCACCCCACCCAACTGCCAAAGGAAAACCACCCACAGTGTAGTAAAGTAAAGTGTGTAGCAACACTCAAGTGTAGTAAAGGAGCAACTGCTCTCAGTTCGCTTCGAATATCCACACGCGCGGACATTAGGCGTGTTCAGACGACAGCACCTCCCCTAGCCCGTCACGCGACACGTCACTTTTGTGGCCCCCACTCGCCCGACATGCAGCCGGTGACCTTTGGTACCGGGCTCCCACCTGCGAGCGGCCCCACTCTTTCACCGGGCCAGCCGCTCGCGGCCAGCACTGAGCGTCACGAGCGCCAGCCGGGACGGGGGCAGTGGGGCCGGTCACCCGATCTCCTCGGCAACGCTGCCCCAGCCTGTTTTGACTGCGAACTTCGTGATAGGTGTGCTCAGGGTGAGCCACGGCTGAATAATGCAAGGATGATGAAGATGGTCCGTGAATGGACTGTGCCCTCAATGTATTTTGCATTGGCACACAGCAATTAAGACAACCATTCCATCGAAGTTGGCAACCTCACCCACTCATCTAGCCGTCACCCCAAACCAAGTGCCCTAACAATCAGAAGTCGACTGAGGCCAACTCCCCATATTTCGACACGGGATTCGTTTCCTAAGTTTACCGGTGCTTACTTCAGCGACGGTTCAACTCGGACGCCGGGACACGACACGACTGGTAAAATAAGATCCACCTGGGTGTACAACGCGCGTTTCACCAGTCCAACATCACAACTGCGATACTATAACACCCGGCCGGATTACCAGATTCACAAACTAAAGCGAGACGAGACTCGCCGGCCAACTTCACTCCCACCCAAATGTCACGCTTTAGCGGGATACCCAGACATCGCATATTGCTATACCGCAGTACGCGAATGTTCAAGCTGCAGCAGTTTCGTGCGCCGCCTTGACGTATCCCCGGCGGCCATCGAGACGCAACGCGCCGCCGTCAGCGCGGAGACCACCGCCGTATCTCCCTCCTCCACGCGCGCGCGACGCCCCCTAGCGCTGCGGGTCCGCCATGGGCGCCTCCTCCGGCTCCTGCACCACAGTCACCATCAGCAACATGAAGCTGAAGCCCGCCAGGATAGCGGCCAACTTGGCTAGTCCGCTACCCGGTTTGGCGCGTTCGCCACCAATGATTTCGAAGATGACCACGTAGAGGATGGTGCCGGCGGCCAGCGCCTGCAGCACAGCCGTCAGCGCCATGTGGCCGCCGCTGGAAGAGGTCACCAGCGTGCCCAGCACGATCCCCGTGGGCGAGGCCAGCACGAAAGCCGCCAGTGTGGCCAGCGCCCGCTGCGTGCTCGACACGGACGCGGCCAGCTGCTCGCCCAGGCAGAAGGCGATGATGGACTTGTGGGTGGCGATGGCGGCGGTGAGCAGCCAGGTGCTGGCCTCCGTGGCCTCGAGCCCGATGGCCATGCCCTCGAACACAGAGTGCACCGACAGCGCCACGGCCACGATCAGCACGCGGAAGCTGCCGAGGTTGGGCGGCGACTCGGGCGGCGGCGGGCAGCGTCGGCGACGGCGGCGCGACCCCGTCACAGCGCCGTACTCGCGCTCGGCTTCTCCAGCAGGGCGCTGCCCTGGCGCGCGTCGTACAGCACCCGGTCACCCCGCTCCTCGTCTTCAGCCGTCTCCTCCTCCTCCTCCTCAGCACCGTCCATCGTGCTGTACTCAGCCGACGGATCACGGCGCGCGCACAGCATACCCAGCTCCTCCAGCAGGTAGATACTGAACAGGCCGCAACATACGAGCACCTCGGCCAGCGGGAACTCCAGCTTGCCCAGCGCCTTCTCCCACGGCCTCCCGACCCTCGGGCAGCATGTGCGCGAACACGGTGGCCAGCAGAAACGCCGCCTCCGAGACACTGCAGGGCACGATAGCGCCAGCGAAGCGCGGGTTCTTGCCACCCGATCTGCGCTTCAGGCAGGAGGCCAGCTTGAACGGGATCAGGCCATCAGCAGCGAGGACAGCAGCAGCACAAGAAAGGCGCCCACCTTAGCCGAGAGGAGGCCCATTGTGGGGCACGGAGACGCACGCCCGTCAGGCGGCAGCGGAGAGGACCGGCAGATGAAACCCGCTCAGAGCAGTCCGCACCTCGCGAGCCCTGGTCACGGTCACGGGCAGGCACACACCCAGTGGAGCAGCCGACCAGCGTCACTAAAGACAGCGCGCCCGATCCATTCCCAGCAGCGGCAAGAGTCCTGTCTACTCCGGCTCGGCACCAGCGCACGCGGTGGGTGAGAACTGCGCCCACTGCTGGCAGCAGAAGACCCGGGATCCGTTCCACACAGCGCGTGAGTCCGATCCGCTCCAGCCAACCGCCGAGCTGACAGACAGCTGAGCTGAGCCGAGCTAGCGCAGGGCGGAGCGGCCAAGCACCAGCGCCGCCCGCGGCAGCAGTCGACCGGTCCGCCGCTGCGCGTCGTCGACAGCTTCGGCCGGGGGCGTGTCCGTCAGCCGAATGTCAGCGGCGCTCGTCAGCGGCGGCAGAAGGTCACGTGACGGCGCGCCCGGCGCCCGCGCCGGCCGACGGGAAGGTCAGCCTGCGACGGGAGCCCGGAGCCGAGAGTAGGAGGGGCGCGAGCAGCGCCGGCCGACACTGAGAAGCCGGGAGCTCGGAGCCGAGAGGAGGGGCGCGAGCAGCGCGGGCCGACACTGAGAAGCCGGGAGCTCGGAGCCGAGAGGAGGGGGGCCACGAGCAGCGCGGGCCGACACTTGGAAGCCGGGAGCTCGGAGCCGAGAGGAGGAGGGACGCGAGCAGCGCGGGACGACACTTGGAAGCCGGGAGCTCGGAGCCGAGAGAAGCAGGGACACGAGCAGCGCGGGCCGAGACTGGAGCTCGGAGCCGAGAGAAGCAGGGACACGAGCAGCGCGGGCCGAGACTGGGAGCCCGGAGGCCGACAGGACCCAGTGGCGACGTGCCGCACTTTCCGCGGCCATCTGCGCGGGACCGCGAACTAGACGAGACAATAGCCTTAGGAGAGTGAGGAGCGCCCCGGCGACAAAGGTCGCCGTCGGGAGCAGCTGCAGCTGTGCACGATGGCGGTTCTGCGTGTCAGCGTCGGCCGGGGTTCGGCGACCACCTGACGCGTGAAATCTCACCGCGCCGGAAACGTTCAGGTCAACAACCGCCGGGGCGACTGCATACTGGCCCCCCTGCGACGTTATGATAGTTACACACGATATTTTTAGAAAGATCGACATGCGTTTATGGTACATCGCTCCACGCCATTCGGAGCAAAATAAAAGAAAAAAAACATGCCAAAACTACCAGGTCGTAGATGGCAGCAAAGTTATTGCATGATCGACTCCTCCGACAGACGCGTGGAACGGGATTTCGAACAAAGAACACCAAACCTCGCGCTAAGTACTGATCACTGGCGCGCAATGAACTATCCTGAATTGTTCACTCCTTCCCGCCCAGCAGGGCAGGGATGAAGACTCGTCCTGCGGCCGTCCGGTCTCCTTTCGTGTCACCACAGCAAGAGTTCACCACGACTCATTTTCGTACGAGAACAGCGTCCAACTAGGGATCTGCAGTCCGAAAATGTCGGAATTCCACACGACAACCAGATAGTTTTGTTGCTTTTGTTTTACCAGAACTGCGGCCTAAATCACCTCTACCCTATCTGTATATCCAACGTTTAAATGTCACCATAATCTGTCGTCCAGCCACCGTAACTTGACCCACCAGTGCGTCCCTTTTTCACGACCTGACCTCCCATCGTACGCTCTGGCCGTTATGTACCCTCTCATCAGTACGCACGACCTTGCCACCCCTCTGTCCCCTGGCAGTGTCCTGTTCGCCCCCGGCGCCCCCGGCTCTGACCTGACCGGCGCCGCCTCGTCAGCTGGCGGCCGGCCGTCGGCGTCGCCTGCGTCGATCCATTCGAAGTGGCCGGACCAGGCGAACCCGCCGGCCACGCGCTCCGCCCTCTCGTACGCCAAGTCCTTGTCCCGGATGTTGTCGATCGCCGGGCACACGAGCGCGCGCGGCTCCTCCTTGATGCGCTGCAGCAGCGGCTCCACCCTGGCGGCGGGGACCGGCGTCGTCAGAGCAGTGGCGGCCCACTGTCGTCCAGCAGCGCGGGGCTCGCAAGGGGTGTTGGTCATCACGCCTTGGCCATCATCCCCTGATCTCATGACATGAGTAGGCAATGCGGCACGTGCAAACACATGCTGCGACAGTAAACCCACTTGCTAGAGAGCAACTGCCGCACAGTAACGCTGCCCGTTCACAGCTCAGTTGAACAGGAAACGCAAAAAGCGGATACAAACAATATCAACAAACACACCTTGCATACACCATAATTGGGTTTATAGCTACCAGTAAACCTAGCATACAAATGCAGCACAGCCATCAGAAAACAAGTTCTCCGTTTACGGCAACACCACAAACGTCACCGTCTGCCGGCGCGCTTACTCAGGACCGCTCCGAGACGGCCGCTGGCCAGCGTCGGCGGCGGCTCACCATTGCTGGCCGGGCTCCACATGCGAGTCCAGGAAGATGAGCACCTGGCCGCCGGCGCGCTCGGCGCCCCAGTGGCGGCCCTTGATCAGGCCCTGACGCTCGTGCAGGCGCAGAAGCCGCACCTTGGTTGGCAAGCCGCTGTGCCACGTAGCGTTCCAGCTGGACGCCCAGCTCCGCTGTCGGCAGGCGCGGCGCGAGCGAGGGTTACGGGTGCGTGCCTGCAGGTGAGTCATCTACCCTAGCTCTGCCACCCGGCTCCAAATGGAGCCGGGTGGCAATGAAACAAAACAGACAGTGGACAACCTGGTGTCAGATCAACTGTGGCGATAACAAATCAATGATACAAAACTTACGAGTTCGCAAAGCAGATCACAGCCCTTTTCAGTCCAAAGAGGCACAACATGCATTGTCACACCAATACTGCTACATGCTGCAATAGGCATAATAGCATTAGCAATAGCCATTGCTGTAAAGCACCACATGTCAATTTTGTGTTTTGAGTGGTTCAGTGAAAAAGTATCAAAATTATCAATCTGGTGTAATGCAAGCCCATGGGAGGCTAGGCCAATGACCTCTTTTCCCTTTCCACAGCCAATGATCATTTCAAGGTGGCACAAAAAGAAAACAGCAAAAAAAATACATGTTCAATTTCGCGACGTTATTCACTGGGGGTTTCCGTCATTCTAGAAAATATAGCTGGGATCCAGCATCAGCCTTCGCCCCATGATGAGAGAATCCCGGCTTGCTGCCATATTATCGCACATATCCCTTACAGGATCCCAAAATGACGTCAGATGCAAAGGGTTCCTCCAGAAGGCATCGCAAATATTATAAATACAAATTGGGGTGGCTGGGCAGTGCAGACTTCATGACAGGGCAGGCCTCGACTGAAACAAACATGGAATTGGAATAGGAAAACAGCATTGAGGATACCACCCCATAGACCCAGATGCAAAACAACCACCTTCCTCACACTGCAAACCTCAGAGTACGAAGCCAAAAGCTAGACTTCTTCCCAAGCCACAAGTAAACACGCATAACCGTTGATCGCCCGCCGTCTCCGCCGCCACGGCGCCACCATTCACGGCACGCAGTCCAACCTTTAGTGCTGGCGTCGTCCACCAGGAGAACCTCGTGCATCAGGTGCTCGGGCGTGCGGGCCAGCACCGAGTGGACGGTGCGCAGGCAGAGCCGACCACGCCTCGTTGTGGAAGTGATGACGACGCTGGCGTTGGGCAGGTCAGTGTCGAACGCTCGATTACGGCACCTGGTCCCGGCGGGCCGGCGGCAGGATCGCGGGGTCACCAGATGTCACGCCAGGACACGGGCCATAGGACGCATGTCGCACGGGTATAGTTAACCCGCTTAGCCGAAGAATGTGAAGAAAACATGGTCTGTCAACACTTCTACATCATGCTAAGTCTTCTTATTGACATGTTTGGACCAAATGCTTGCATACTGCGTGGGAGCGTTCTGCGGCGAGAGATGTCCCGTGAAACACGGAGAACTCAGGCCAAACCCGCGAGGGACCCACACACAGACCCCTGGCGAGCGGACACCACCTGGCGGTCGGCTGAGCACTCACAGAGCGGGCCGAACGTCGGGCAGGCGCCGCACGTACGGCACCTTGTCGCTGGCCACCACGTTGAAGCCCTCTTGCTGGAAGAGCCGGTCGGCGCGGCGCTGCTCGTCGGCCGAGAGCAGCACGGGCCGGCCGGCGTCGCCGGCGCCCGGCTCGATCAGCGCCAGCTGCGGGAAGTCAGGTCGGCCGGCCGCCGCAGCAGCGCGTACAGCACGGCTGCGGCGGCGGCGGCGGCCGCAGCCAGCAGGAAAGGCCGTCGCCAAGGCCAGCTGGACCGGACCTCTGCAGCAGTTAGTTGATCGTGGCACACAAGAGCATTTTGAAATACGTGCGAAGGCATGGCTTGGGTGGATTTACGATGAATTTGAAAGTTCGGATCAGTGAGTTTTTCAATAGATTTGTCGAATACCTCCACATCGGCGAGAATGTGAAGACAAGTATAATCCACATCTGCCTGGCACCAAGAAAAGGAGGTGGCTGTTACATGCGTCATTATAGGTGACCCATGTGTCATTCATAGATAAAAGTTCATCGTGAGTAACAACTGTGTGACCATGGAAAACTGTGAGTTGGCCATGACGTACGAAAAGAACTTCTCAGAAGTCGTTAATCAGTATAGTGATATGATCGTAGTAATATGATAGAAGCAACAGAAGGGTTGTACAAATGGAAGCAATGGTTAACTCTCATTTTGGACTTAGCATGACTTACAATCATTGCATATCATGGAACCACCATAAGCATTTAAATGTCCCGCCAAACAGGTGGAGGAATCCCAGGACACATATTACCTCGGATGCATAGTCTGTGACATAGCAAGCTATTCTGGAATTTAGACAACAAAAAACACAACTGCCAACTTACTACACTTAGAACAAAACGAGCTTGCAGGCTTGCTTGGCTAAGCGACGGAGCGTCTATGGACGATTTGCGTTTGCATTATTGCAACACCGCTCATGGGATTCCCTGGCCGACCCGAACTCTGACTGCTGGGACGCCTGACGGGCACCTGGTGTGATGTGTTGGCTGTCAGGGACGTTCAAACCCTGGTCTCCAGATTTCCACTGCGGTTGGAGCGTTGACGTGCACTCCAAAGTGCGAGAAAATCCACTTGCTACCACTGCAAATGCCAGATCTCCCTAATTTCGCCCCTGCCACTGTGTCGATGCAGCTGCAGTGTTTCTGTGTTGTCAGACACTTTACTACCCCAAAAACACCCCCAGAGGCCAGTGGGAGTGCCGTTTGGCCGTAGCCGTGAGTTTACGTGAAAATATATGCATTTCGTGGGCCCTTTATCGTACCCGTGTCAATTATTATTTACTCGATACGTGTGGCTTCTCTAGCATTTCTCAAAGCAAGGCATTCTGGCAATGCATTTGATCGTCACTATGGCTCACCTCTCTCGCCACAAAAAGTGAATTAATGCAGGAAAGAATGGCGGTTGGCGAGCGCCTGCAGCATCCGCGCATGGGTTCTCTCGTCGTTTTGGCCGCCGCCGGCGCCGGAGACGGGGCAATCGATCGGCGGCATGGCACAATCAGTACAGACAATGAATTGATGCACGCGGTGATTTAACAGCGTGCCGTATTCGGCACCGTTTTTTAAAAATGTCGACACCCCCTGTTCGCCCAACGAATACTGGCATAGCCGTGCGTCCAACAAACTCGTATTAGGCACGTGAATTGCAGCTGGTCCGTTGGCCGACGTTTTGAACTGTATTTGCGTTTCTGACCGCTCTGGCTGCCGAGCTGAGGTATACAACGTGAAAACCATCAAAACAAGCCAACTTCATCTTGGCCGCTTCTGTGCACCTGACAAGTGACAGCACGTCTCACACCGCTCGATGCTCTCGTCCAATGATCTACCTACACAGTTTCGAACGGCTGCTCGTCGGCTTTGTCGTCCGTCACATTCCGGGCGGCCGGTGCAAGACCAGCGGGCCTGCACCGGTCTTGTCGCCACATCTATGCCCGATCCCGGTTCGCAGCGGCTGGCGATCTACCCGTGGAAAACGGTCTTGTGCGCCCGTGCGTCATGTTCAAATTTCACTGTTTAATGACCCGCCGTTTGGACCCTGGGCAATGCAAAACAAATGGGACAGGCGCAGACACATCCTAGGCAATGGCAGTTGTTTAGGGTGTGCCTGTCTTGAGGGTGTTTCTGCACCCTGTAATCGTTTTTATCATGCATTCAGTAAGCTGATGGCAATAATGTGTTCTGTCTTCTTAAATTCCAAGAGCTTGTTATGCAGCAGACAGATGATGCATCCATGGCAGCCTGTATTCTGGGATTCCTCCATCTGTTTGCTGAGACCTGAACCTGCAGAACAACCCATAAACAATGGGGTGAATGCTTACTTTTAGACTTGGTCCCACATCTTGATTTTCCTGGCATCTGTGGGCATGACAAACATGGTGACTTGTAACATAATTTTGCCTCTTAACTCTGTCCAAAAGTTGTCAACACAGTATTACTTTTCTGAGCTTTGTGATGCTCAAATAAAGTTTCAAGTGCCAGAATGCAAGCACAACTGAGACCAGTCCATCAAAAGCTTGGAAACAGCTTCCAGATGGAACCTGCCAGTTCCCCTTGCACCATCTTTGGAATGCTTGGATGTTGCATGGATAAAAATGAGGTAAATGGTTAAGCTGTTCCATTTCTTTTTCCTTGCCTTCACATCATTTTGCCAAAAACTTTCTTAGTTTTATTGCTCATGGTAATGGTTTTCACTGCATCTTTCCTAGCCATCTTAATTGTTGGCAAGGTTCTGCAAAGATTACTGCTTATGCTCCCTGCATGTGAACTCAGATCAACAGTGAAACAAAAGGAGGAGACAAGTTAAGCTTTTAAGGAGAAGAGTTTATATATATTTAAGACAATCCAAAGAACTTGAAAGCATGAGCATGAAAGTATAAAAAAGATGAGGAAAACCAATGCAATTATCAAGGCCATTAGGTTTGACTAAGAGTAAAATTAAAAGGTTGTATTTCTCAAACAACTGTGGTTGATATAGGTTCACGCACATCAACTGCTCAGCTATTTTGCACCCAATCTCGAAAAACAAGCTGGAGAGGTATGTTTCATACTAGACATAATACCAACACAGGGAAAGAATGAACAACCACACAATTTCTTTTTGCCTTGAGTCTTAGACATCAATGATATACTGGCCCAGGGAAGCAATCCAAGTGAATATTGTTGAGGCCAAGAGGTGACTTAAGAATTCCCTTCCCTCCATAAATGCCCCACTATAAGTTACCAAACCAACACTGGGAGAACCCTTCTAAGACCATAATGACCAAGACCTTCTAAGACCATAAAAAACTGACACTTCTATGCTGGCCAGTTGTTCTACCCGATGTAATGTCGTCAATACTGAGTTTAGTTCAGTTACTGGGTTACAATTATTACATAGCTTTGGTTATGTCACAACAATGACAAATCATTTGCTGTCACACCAATGTGTACAATGTTCAAACCAGGAATATGTTCTTCATAACAACAAAAGCCCTTAATGATTGCAACCAATATTTTACGCAACCCACATTGCAACCAACCTTCCCCAACTTTATTCATCGGGCTTTCGCCGCCAACGCAACTCACACCGCGCCGGGTGCCGCGCTGCCGTTACTTTTGCCGTAGCCTTGCTTCTGCCCACATTACCGTGTAGCGGCACTGTGACGTCAACATGGGACTAAATCAGATGGCACCAGCGTTCCGGCGACGTGACAACGTTACCCTTTGCTGTCTGGTTTAAACATAAATATCACCATAAACCAGATTTCTTCGGCCTACCACATTCAATAAAGCATTTTAACAGGTAACTGGCGTTGGTTTGCACCAGAGCTACAAGATTATTGCTGGAATGGGCTTGCATCCTGCAGCATCCCCGGCAGAAAGATGGTGTACCCCACTCACCAATGATTTATCCCCACGTACTCTAGCCTGCAGCACGGACGGATCCAGAGGGGTGGCCACGGGGCCACGTCCCCCCCCCCCTTGAACCTCGAAGGGCCCCATAGTCGACCAAAACAGATGCATCTTCGTAAACACAAAACGCAACAAAATTGGACATCTTGGATTTTCAGGCCACCAAGACAGTTGCCAGTGAAAGTGAAGAGCCAACGAGAAGGGATAAAAATATTGAATG